AATGAAATTTGTGCTCCTTTTGATTTGGTTCATTCTGATGTCTGGGGCCCTTCACCCATTGTTTCCTTTGATGGCTTCCGGTACTTTATCAGTTTTATTGACCACTACCCTCGTTGCACATGGATCTACCGGTTAAAAGGACAGGATGAAGTACCACGGATAACCATGGCATTTTGCAAGATGATTGAAACACAGTTTAATAAGAAGATTAAGCAATTCAGGTCAGACAATGTTGTTGAATACTTTGAAACATCCTTGAACTTATTCATAGAAGATGTTGGCATACTACATCAGTCATCCTGTGCTTATACTCCTCAGCAGAATGGGGTTGTTGAGCGCAAGAATAGACATCTATTTGAGACAGCTCGAGCTTTACTATTCCAGCACAAAGTCCCCAAGCAATACTGGTCTCAAGCTGTACTTTCTGCATCATATYTGAWAAACCGGATGCCATCTAAGGTGTTGGGTATGAAAACCCCTTTCTCTGTTTTGTGCCCCTCTTCCAGACTTTCCCCTTCCTCATCGGATCTTTGGCTGTATATGTTTCATACATGTGAATGATCCAAAGAAGACAAAACTGGACCCTAAGGCTACAAAGGGAATATTCTTGGGGTACTCTCTTACACAAAAGGGTTACAAGTGTTATGACCCTGTCTCCAAGAGAAAGTATGTCACCAAAGATGTGGTCTTCTTTGAGTCTCAACCCAATTTTCAGTCTTCTCATAATCCTCTTCAAGGGGAGACTAGTGGGATGGAAGAGGATTCTCATTCTCCCTCCTTTTTTGTTCCCCTATCTGCCTCGGGTCTTCCATCCTCTCCTCCTACTCCTTGTTGTGACATTCCGGGTCAACCCAGTGAGGCTCCCACTGTGCCGATTACCTCTCATGATGCTGCAGATGTTCCTGAAGACTCCAGTAGGCAACAAAAAGAGATACTTACATACAAAAAAGAAAAAGGGGCCCTCAACCTCATGACAGCAACCAGTTGGACTCGGATCAATCTGTCTCTACAATCCAAGGTAATTCAAACTATCATACTTTTGATTTAGATCTTCCTATTGCTCTCTGTAAGTTTATCCGCTCTT